CATAAATTATCTGTAATAAAAAGCATTCAAAATGTTATTTTTATTACCTGTTTCATATTTAATAATTAATAAGCCTTTAGGACCTTAGGGATATCTTTTAGGGTTTCTTACTGACTGGTCAACAAGATTTACTTTAAAATCTTTGGCACGTTACACTGTTTCCGCTTGTATAGTCGAAACATATAAAAATATGTTTTAATAGACTTCAAAAAGAGAAAGAACTTAGATGTTTTTTTTTAATTTTTAAATTTTGTGTCACTTTAGACTCCGTCACTTATGAACCGATTTGAAAAAAAAGTCCGACCAAACGAAATTTATACCCTACCGTAGGGTATACCTTTCGTTTGATCGTCGTTTCGTTTGGTCGGATTTAAATTTGAAGAAAAAATACCTCTGGATATACGAGTACAAATGAAGGAATAACGAGTATCGTCGGTGATACTTTATCAAAAGTTGATTATCATTTCCTTCCCTACTACTACTCGCGAAACGATCCTCCTTTTGCAATAATATTAACACAAAATATACGTATTTAATCTATCCCTTAAATGAATTTCCCAAACATGGAAGTAATGATTTAATCATTACATACAAGTACACGCTTGTTAGCTATGTAGGCAGTAGATCAACTTGATGCGACCACGTTTTAACAACTTGCTTTAAATGTATTTGTCAACGTTCACTCTCTTCAAGTCTTGTGACGGTTCGCACGTGACTGGAGTTTAATGGAAGTCCTCGAATCTATTTAATAATGGAATAATGTTTATGATTATTATTTCAATTATATGTGAAAATTTAGCCTTTTTATAAGATTTTGACTGACCTGTGTTGGTTTAATGGTTAGTGACCCTGAATGCTAAAAACGAGAGGTTGTGCGTTCGACACGATCATTTTTTGGGTATCTGAATGAAATTTTTCAATAATAATATTTAGAAATATATACCTAAGTATGTTCATCAGCAGTCTGTTTATAATAATATAGGCTCTGCCTAATTTGGGATCAGGATTGATGTCAAGATGTGGTCAGTGGTCAAGATGTGTCAAGATGTGGATCAGATCCATCCATCCTTGACACATTGTGTCAAGATATTACTATTATTATTTTCGTATATTTCGTATATACGTAAACACGGCAATCGTAATACTGGGTCAGTAGTTTAAACACCTGTGAATTTTAAAAGTCGTCAAGTCTTTTTGAGGCTTTGAGTTTCTACATAGGCATGTTAAGCATAATCTGTTTATCTGTCTAAACAAAGACAGCTCGAGTTCATTGGTCAATAAAATAATACAATAAATTCATAATTCGACCGCCATTCGCCCTACACTACTGGCACATATAAATAGACAAAGGCAAAACAGTTTAGATCTTCTTCAATCAGTCAATTTTAAAGTTCCTCCTTCATTTGTTTCAAAAGAATGGTAATCAATGGTGGCTTTTAGTCGAATTTTAAACAATAGGTGAAAATTAGTTTTTATTAAAAATAGTAAGTATATTTTTGCTCGATTTGCTGATTTTAAGAGACAGAACATGCATAAATAACAAGGTTCTGAATAATTTTGAAGTCTGTGGACATTGTGGCGTCTTTCACATCGAATACTACAGCATCGAATAAACATACTACAGCGCCATCTATCGAAGACGCACCAAACTACGAGTAACCGCTAATCCTGTATCGCGATATGAAAAATTCTGTCGCCGATTAGCATAATAACAACTTCCCAACAACAATCGCCGGGCCACGGCCCGCCAGGCATGATCACCTCGCCTTGTCGGAGGATCCTCCCTTTGCGTTGGAGGGATATATTACTTGTTTGGTGACCTCGACGTGATTGGAAGCAGCCTTTAAGAAGCAAAGCAGCAGCAGCACCATCGCCACCATCGTTTATACTCCCACAGCGATGAGCAGTAGGCAATCAATCGATGACACAATTTAAAGAAAAACCCTACATCAATTTAAATTTGTCTCTCAAAAGCAATTATTTTATAGCACACTGTTTTTTGAAAAACAAATCTTAAAAGGTCTATTAATCCGTCAAATCTAATTTTCATAAAACATTAATACAATTCAGGTATTTGTCCTGATTCTCTATAATAACCCGTCTCAGCCGTTCATGTCTTGTTAGTCAATTTGAAAGGGTCATTGAAAATTACTGCGTGCAATTATATTGCAACGCTTCTCACGTATTAATTGATATTTATAGTAACTTTTTTATTAAATCCAATGTTTAAGAGGAAGCACACATTCTCAGTAGCAGAAGATAAGAACCTTTTTACGATGGGACAGCATTAAACACCAGATTCCATTATAGATATAGTCCGAGTGCGGAAGATCTTTTAAAACATTTATTGTGGATTAAATTTTCATTTTCGTTATACTCATACATAGCTAGATAAATATTTCATTGTTTTAAAAATATCAAAATGAAGATCGGTATTTTTTTTAAATATATTAATTTAACTTAAAATAACATTAATAGTTATTTAAGTTTGAAAAATAACTTAGAGAAATATTTTATCCAACTATTACATGTATATTTTTCTTATATATGTAACTGTGTTTTACAAGAACATAGTGAATTTGTTCCCTGTTTTTGTTTATTTTTGCCAACAATCGTTCCCAAAAATCGCAATATTGTGGTTTTCCAACTTTTATATTAAAACTAGCTTTATTCACAAGTCGCAAAATGCGCACTTCTACTAACCGAACATATGACAAATAAGGCAGCTAATAGCATTTGACGCGAACGAACATGGGTATCACAGTTTATGCTTTTTTGCGCATATAAATAATTCCCTGCGGCTATCTCGTTTGGTTTGGCAATACTAATGGTGCACTTAATCAGACCTCCTACCGTATACTAGTATGTGTGCATTTACTAATAATAGTCTAATTTATGTTACTAGCTTTTGCACACGGCTCCGCCCGCGTGTATTTCGGTTATTGTAGTAAAAAGTAGCCTATGTTACTCGCTGATTTTCATTGGTGAAAGAATTTTGGAGCTTTCCATTGGTGAAAGAATTTTCAATTTTGTGGTTTTTTTACAAACAAACAAAGCTCACTTTCACATGTATAATATAAGTATGGATGTAGAAAGTTATACAAGTTATTTAAAAAGTTCGGATGATAGGATAATTCTTTCGTTGCTTTCTACTGAGGTTCATTATCAGCCTATCGCAGTTCACTGCTTGAAATAGGCCTCTCCAATTGCACGCCACTTAGATTGATTTTGGGCTAAAGTTACTGTAGCCTAAATCCAGGGGGGGTTGCTACCCTTTTCCCAATTAGTTTACAGAGAACTCCCCCCCTTTCCCGGGTTGGCTTCTGTAGACCTCTTTTAAAGTAAATGGAGATTGGTCTATTAAATCAAAATTAAATTTTAAAAATAAATTAAGTTTTTGTGAACTCGTTTTTGAACTGACTGCTCTGAAGTTCACCATCTAGAGCTAAACCTGGGCACAAGATGGAGCCACGCTTTTCATTTAAATGCATTGTCATCGGATCTGAAACAAAATACAAAATTTTGACTCGAATGAGAGCGAGGGCGGTTTTATTCAAATTGCAATGTTACATTTGTAATGTAAATAAAACAAGCATTTTGGTAATGTGATGAAAACATGACGTTTAATACAATTACTCTTTCCTTAATTGCATCTTTGTACGACTCCCGCCTCGCTGCAAGACTCCAAGTTTTAGTCCTTATTAATTATGTTAGTCTCAAAACGGTAATTTCTCTGTCATAAACTAGTGAAATATTGTTTTGTAAATACGGTTTCTAAAAGCTGGTCCCTATTTATACAAAGAGGTAAAGTTCATGAGCATGAATGTAGGATATTCTTCGTAATTAGTGATCGAGGTTTAAAAATTATTTTATGAAAAAAAAGTCCCTGATCAATACGGACTTTTTATTTCAAAGGTAGGAAGGAAAAAAAAACAAGTCTGTTTTTTAAATTTCTAATATTTTGGCCACAATATTGGTTTTCGACCGTAAGTTCGATTCTCGCCCAATATTTGTAAATAATTATATATATATTTGCATGGTTATGGGAGGTTATTTCTGTGAACACACGAGTTCGAATAAAAACAAAAAATAAAGTTAGTGAAAACAGGAAATAGCTAGTAAAATACGTTTACGTAAAAATATCTTTTTCAAAAATGAGGTTAACCAGAACTATTAAATACCTAAGTATTTGATAAATAAAAGTGATAAATTTATGATCAGTAGATGTGTCTTATTTGTTTTTTGAAAAGACAACTCCTGCATTAGGAATAGATCCTGTATCGCAGAGGACTTTACAAACATACGTAAAACGGACACATAGTACGTGAAGACATAGAACATCAATTTGTGTATCACACAAAGTGATGTCCCATGTGGCGATTGAACCCATAACACTCGGCACAGTAAGAAGCGGCGAGATGACCGCTTAAATTACTACGCCATCTGTGCAGTTTGGTCTGTTCTACTGACCTCTCAAATCACAAGATCAACATACTGATACGCAACCCTGGTCTCTTCAAGGTACTGTCTTCTCAGTGCCGTTACCCTATCCGAGACTTGTTTGCCCTTCCTAGCTCCCTTACCTCATCCGTTTTCCTTACCAAAATTTCCCGACTACCTATGTCCCATCTGTAAACAAGGTTGGCGTTAAGCAAGCTGATGGCCATAAAAAAAAAAACTAGCTAAACCTTTACCCAACCCCAAATGGCATGAGAAAAGTCGTACTCGTAGACGACCATCAAACCTTCAAGAAAAGAGTGTACTCCTTCGTCAAAGGCTGGTAACGCGCTTGTGACTCCTGAGTTGCAGGCGTTCATAGGCGGCGGTAGTCACTTTCCATCAGGTGACCCGTCTGCTCGTTGCCCCTATTCCATAAAAAAAGATAATTTTTAATACCAACAATATGAATAGAATATACTTTTAATAAATTACGTGTTTACATATTATGAACCTTGAAAATTTGTAATAAGCTGGGAATTGTTAATCACAAACTTTAGATTTCATACTTCGTCTTCTGGACAATACGCTGTAATTTCTTCAAGATAACAAGATTTAACACAGCACTCTGTAGCGATACCTTCAACGTCTCGTTTCGCCTTCAAAGTCATCGCTCCAGAATGTCTTATCCACGGCCAATTGTATTCCACACCATCGTATACAGGAATTATCACATTGCCAACATCATGCTGACGTTTTATCACCGAATTGTCCTTTCGAAACTGGCAGTAAAAGTTTAATACTTCAGGTAACCGTCCACCACAAACCCGCATTTTGGCCACCTTCTGTTCATCACCACGGCTCATGGTGGTAGCGAAAAGCAATACAAAGCACACTGCTAACTTCATCGTGATTGTGTTGAGTACCGAATGTGTGGTTTCGTATTAAACGGCGGGCTTTTATAGTGGGAAAAGTTCATTAAGACTCGTGTTTATTATGCACGCTGTGTCTAGAATATAAGGCGATATGATTTAATGACGTCAAAGAGGTTTAATAGGTCACTAAGCTTTTGATTTGCATATGACAATGTCTTATTTGTTAGTTGTTACCTGTATTAATTAGTTGACATGAGAATATTTTATGAATAAATAAAAGTAAATCTGCCACTGTTTGAAAGTTTTTGCCCTCGAAATCCACTCGGGCTTTTACCACATCGGGGTTTGCGGAAGGCCGGTGTGTCGGAATCGAACCCACTAAAACTACACGGCGGTGTTCTTAGAACGGATCTGTAGACCAGCCACCCCTATTTCCACCTCCGTGGCGAATGGAAAAGAACCTCGACTACTTCGTGCAGGAAACTGAAAGTTTTATAATCCCCTGCTGAACATAGGCCTTTACCTAGAAAGGTTTTTACCTATTATACCACGCTGGGCAGACGGTTTGGTATAGGATTTTTGTCAAGTTTTTTTTTCTCTTTGCAGCACTGCAAAGAGAAAAAAAAACTTGTTCAGTTTCCTGGGGAGTTTCAGTTTCCTGGTTTCCTGGGAAGGGACTATTGCTATTATAACGTTACCTGTTATATTGAGGGTACTTATTGTAGTTTTTTTACTTAGATTTGTATTTTATTTTTATTTTTAGTACTCTATGTCAGTACCTATTGTTTGAAGTCGGTTTAACTTTTTTTAAAGGATTTATTTTGCCATTTTTAGTGTTAGATATGATTGTAATGAGTAGATAAGTACGATATTTAAAACACTACGTACCGTAATGTATAGTACCAAACTGTAGTATGTTAGATTATATTAAATATAGTTTTATAAGTCCGTTACTTTATTTAGATAAGGTAGTAATATGTTACAATTGAACCCGAAAATGTATTGTAAATGTATGAGCCAGTTTGACCGGAGTGGCTCCACGGCCTCACAGAACACCGGTGTTAAGCAGTTCTTTCTCTGCTTTCACCGAGTTACTGAGGTCACTGGAGAACTAACCTCCCCCTCTTCCGTGCCAATTGAGGGAGGGGGGATTACTTAAAGTGTGGCACTTATGTTTCTTAAGTTGCGGATGTAAGGCTGCTCATTGGCCCATCTTTTCTTTACGTATTATAAAATGAAGTCGCCTTTTTTTTCTTGTACGCTTAGATCATTTAAGCTACGCAACGGTTTTTAATGCGTTTTTTTTTTTTAATAGAGAGATTGATTGAAGAAACTGGTTTATATGTATAATACATGCATGTTATAGTAGAGGAAATGTAACAATTTCAAAGATTTGTAATGTGTAGCCGACCGAAGTCCGGCAGCCGCTCCTGCCGGACTTCGGTCGCCTACACATATAATATGCTGGCGTATAATAAAGATAACCTGTATGGTCTTCTCATATTAATAGTGTAATTAATTACTCTACACTGACACCACATTAATAGTATTAGTGGTATCTAAATTGCACTCGTGCGAAGCCGGGGCGGATCGCTAGTAGTCTAGAAAAAAAAATTGCTACCTATATTGATATGTCATACTTAATTTTAATGAAACCGCATTTAAGACGGCATCGTATCTTTGATACAGGGGGTGTTTAACCACCAAATAACAGTAAAACGTGATGCTAAAACAAACTCATTAAAATACTGCTGTTAATTACAAATGTAATTTCCGACTCTTAATGAACGTTGTTTATAATTCAAATGGCCTGTTATCATACACTTGATTATATATTATTGTTCTCTTGGGAGATAAATACTAGAAACGCTACTGCACTGTTTGTTCGTCTCTTAGGTTTAGCTTGCTGTAATCATTTGTATTATTTTTGAATAAACCGGTAAACATGCTTAGCTGTTGGTCTAGTGGCTAGTGAACCTGATTGCTCTGCCACAGGTCGTGGGTACGATTCCCAATCACGAAAAATTATTGGGTACCGAACATAATCAGTTATTCTGTTCTGTGTGTGTCATTTGTCTATAATGTGTGTATATTTAGGAATACATAAGTCCGTTTATTTGTTCCTCGGTTTGCTTACCTAGGATAGATAAAATAACTGTTAGAGATCATAGAATTGTCAATGTTAAAGTATGTAGAGTAAATCCTCACTAATATTGAAACTAAAATATTTTAGTAGTGCTTATTGTGGGTTTCGTAAGAGCCGACTAAGGGGGCAAACTACGCAGGACAACAACAACACTGCAAAGGGAAGGAAAACGTGAAACAAACCCTATACCAACTCGTCTGGCCAGCATGGTATAGTAGGCCAAAACCTACTATCTAAGGAGAAGCCTATGTCCAGCAGTAGACTTGCAAAGGCTGTTGATGATTACAACGAAAAAAAACAAGACATTCTTAAATTTCTCATGCATTCTTTTAACTTTTACCCGCGGGAGAGCATTTGGACCAGCTTGCCATAAGTGATACCACGGCCTCACAGAAAACTGGTGTTAGACAATTTTTTCGCTCCTTTTCACCGAGGGTTACCGGATCCCAAACTCCTCCGTCCTAGTTCTGAAGGGAGGACTCAAAAAGCGGCAAAATAGTTATGATTTTGAGCTTTATTCAGAACAATTACTGTTCTCCCCGGGATGGAGCCGAGAAGCCGTCCGTAGTTTGATTAAATATTTATTTGTGCAAGCACAGCTGGAGGGAAAAGCTAGTTATTAATAAATCTTTTGTCAATAAGAGGCTTATTACAATCTAAGTTTAAGGATTTTAATTTTTAAATAGCGTTTATTTTAATTTAACCATAGTAACTAAAGACTTAAGACGAACTTACATTTATTTCATTCAGATGTGATTAATTAAGATTCGCTCTCTTGGAGAATCTAAAAAATGCTCTACAGCTGCGTCGCCCTAAATCACTCAGCATGTCAATCATGAGACAAGTACGCCAAAAACGGACGAATAATAATTCAAATCTATTAACAAGACACCATATTTGGTTACGTTTACTTCTGGATCAAGGCACCAGCCCCTTGGTGAGCTTTCAACTTCGCCAAGTTAAGACTTTGTACTGTATGTTTTGTTAATTGCCTGTTGTTCTACTGGTTTGAGGCCCTAACTACTGAGCCAGGTTTTGTCTTCGATTCCAATCCTGGACAAATAATTGTGTGATAAGCCCACGATCATTGTTCTATGGCTGGGTATAATTTTCCTAGAATATGTCTGTATTTAGAACTATATGAGTATGTTTATCAGCAGACTGGTTGCCACAGTACAGGCTCCGACTAGTTTGGGATAAGATCGTCGTGTGTCATATGTGAGGTTATTATATTGTATATTATTTATTTTATTTATTTAATTATTTTTGCACAAACAACAAATCATTGTACAATGGCGGACTTAATGCCAAAGGCATTTTCTCCCAGTCTACCTTTGGGTGGTGGGAAATGTCTGAGTAGGTGCATGAAATTAAAATTAGGTTACATACATACTGAGATACACATACATATATATACTTGCTGAGTTACATACATACATATAGTACATACGTATATATACATATAATAAGACTTTAGGGATGTGATGAGTCTGCTAGAGTGTCGAGAATTCGAGCTCGGACTTTCGTCTTAAATGAGAGGCGACTGGGTGCTATCCTGATTTCCAAAGGCAGAGCGTATTATATGTAGTTTTTCTTCAGTTTCCATCATCATCAATATCCAACGGTAATGCTGTCTTTAGACGTTGGATAAACAAACGCCCTAAATTATCTCCACCGCTAACCGGCGTTATAAGTCAACTCCCACGTCGTTAATTAGACATAAAAGCTTAATTAAAACAATTGTATTTAAAAATAAATCAACGTATCAACGTGATTAATTTCAAATATTAGATAATAGATTAGGATTTTGTTAAACAACTTTAAAAAGCAACTTGCCCATGACTTTTAATATATAATAATAATATTTCGGACGTCTAATTCTCATCACACAATATTTGTCCTGGGTGGGATTCGAACATACGACCTCTGGCTTAGCAGTCAGCTTTTATCAGCTGTTTATCAGCAGTCTGGTTACCATAGCACAGGCTCTACCTAGTTTTGGGATCAGACGGTCGTACGTGAGATGTGCGAAGTTATTATTATTCTTTGTAAATATATACCTACATGAATCAAATTGTTTATGGTGACAACAGATAAGTCGTCCAAAATACTTACATATAAATATATTCAGTGTAATATTAAACAAAGCGTTCTAGAAACAAGAAGGTTGTAATCTATAGTCGTCTTCTTCGTTATGTTCACCGCTATCGAGTTTAATCAATTTAAATTTAATTGAAGTCGCTCTGTTTGTAACAGTTGGGGACGTAAAACAGTGCCAAATGTGAAGGGATTCAGGTTTAAATTGCACATACAGGAACTGTTTATACTTCCATCTTAATGTATCTTCCATAGGGTTTATATTACTTTGAAGCCAGAATCTACAAATATTGTACTATTGTCATGAACAGCTTAAAATTATTTTATATAATTACAACGAGTGAAGTTTGTTGGCAACACGTAAGATTCTTTATTTCTTTATGACTCTCCGTAAATCTGACAGTAAACTATGTGTAAAGAATGCAGTATGATATTCTTACACATTTGTTTTTTAAATCGAACAGTAAGCTCTAAATAGGCCTAAACCCCTTTTCCAAGGAGAGGCCTATGTTCTATTAAAGGCTGTTCATGATGATGATGATGAAGCTCTAAATATATGTAATATGAATACATGAACTAAAATCTTGTAGATTATGCATACAAATCATGGGAAATCAATGGGAATAGCGTTTGATTTGATCGATGCGCAGGCAATAAAAAAAAACCAAAAACACATCATATGCGACTAAAACGTGGACCACATAGACACATTAAGGCAAATGATAGATATCATTGTGTTAAGGTTAACCGCTAAAGACTGTGTTGAAGTAAGGAGATCCAACTACGCTTG